CCTCACCTCACCTCACCTCACCTCACCTCACCTCACCTCACCTCACCTCACCTCACCTCACCTCACCTCACCTCACCTCACCTCACCTCACCTCACCTCACCTCACCTCACCTCACCTCACCTCACCTCACCTCACCTCACCTCACCTCACCTCACCTCACCTCACCTCACCTCACCTCACCTCACCTCACCTCACCTCACCTCACCTCACCTCACCTTACCACACCTTTTCACAGTTATTTGATCCCATTTCCAATACTTCGCAAGCTCAAGTAATAAAATGCTAAGAATGATATTATTTTCTGATATCTTATCTTATTACCAAGTCAAGTCGACTCCCTAGAGTACTTGAGCACTTTCACTTATTTTCCACTCTCAAAGGCTGTCAATTTCCAATTCTGGCTGCAATTGTATTTCTATCCTTTGTCTTCCTTTTTGCTCAACATGATATTGACTTAGATTTAAGATGCGAATCGAATTGAAGTCCCCTGATTTATGCACAGGCATTATTTAGTAAATGGCTTTTCACTTACTACTCGACTGATTAAAGCCCCAAAGGGTTCGCCTAATAATATCAACAATTGCAATTGAAAAAAACAAAAAAAACAACAAAAACAAAAACAAAAACGGAAAAGGCAAATAATAATGACATCAATGAGGACAGGCAATAAAAATGATTGCGAGTCGATAAGGGGAGGACAAGAGTTGCCGCACACCTGTACTCGGTTGGGTGGGGGTGAGGGGCAGGTGATGATGATGCTGCCACCTTGATAGACGGCAGCCAATTCAATTCGAGTTTCTACTCTGTTGTCTTTTGGTTTTCAGCTCCTTTTATGGCTCCTGTCCGCTCCTCCTCCCCACCGTGCGATGCTTTATAATTCTGCCATAAACGAGAAGAAAAAATCGAGCGATTATTGCTGTAGCCGTTGCTATTATTGTTGTTATCATTATTGGCTTTGTGGCTGAGGCTTTATTGCTTTATTCATATAATTTTATTTGCATTCGCAACTTGTTTCTCTCTCTCACTCTCTCTCTTTCTCTCTCTCTCTCTCCCTCTTGCTCTTTTGATAATAACGAAATTGTGTTTATTTTGGAAAAATCCTTTTCATGTTTATGAGCTGCCATTTGTTTGCCAACGTTTCGGCCTCGGTCGCCCCCTTCGACCCCCCTTCCCTCACGTTGCGCTCTTTTGTTGTTATCAATTTTATTGTGTAATAGCGCTATCCCTTCTGTTGGCCACGCTCAAGCCCCAATTTATCCCAAATTGTATGCGTGTGCGTTACATATATGCTTACGTATATGTAAATATGTTCAAATTTGCTAAAAATTACGTGAGAGTACACTGAAAACAATGCGGTAGGCAATGCAAAATCAGCTCAATTTTTATGGCAATTTAATGAACTATAAAAAATATATAAAATAAAAATAAAAAAATTAACTAGCAAAAACTGTATTTATTTTAATTATAATGGCAAAAAATTTTAAGTAATTATAATAATTATTTTAGAGTTTATTTACGGATGTCTTATAAAAACTTTAAATTACCATGCACGCCTTAAATACCATCCAATAATATGGGAATGAATTAGCTCAGAGTTGATTAAATTAATTAATTAGATTAAATTAATACTTGAGAGAAAAAGTATACCTATACAATAGACATATATATATTCCCCAATTTCCCCTTTTTAAATAGGCTCTCAATACTTTTTAAACCAACCTCGCTTAGGCTCTACTGCTGCTATGCAACATTCAAGCTAACTACTACAGAGTTGTTTTCAGTGTAGTCACGGCTAGCTGAATTGATGAATTTAGCATATTTGTGTGCAGTTTTCAAAGTTGGCCCAAAACTCGCTTTAAAGCCAAATATTTTGTTGTATTTCTTTACTGTTATTTTTCAGCTGTGGCTCGGCTAAAAAGAGTGTTTAATCTATTGGCTGGGCAGCTGGACGAATAGTCTTTAAATTTTGTTGAGTTTTTATGGCAAATAATAAAGAGCGCCAAGGCTGCCTCAGCCTAAGCCGAGGCCGAGCAGCTGGCAGCGCAGTAAACGCACAAATTTTAATGCGTATTTGGGCAAGTTTTATGACAAAGTAAATGACTTGCTGGAACAATGGCCGAGTGGCCGGAGGAGCAATTAAGAGGAGGGGGGATGGCGCACTTAAAGGGGCGACACAATGCCAAATTGTAGCAGTAGCACAACACACACAACACACGCACACACACACACACACATAGTAGCAAAAGTATTTTATGATAGCTACTTGCATGTGAGGCGAGGTCTGGGCGTCTCAAGATGGCTGAGATTTTGATGATGTGCCTACAGTAGATGGCACGCCCGGCATAATGAATCATAATTTAACTGTTGACATGACCAGCCAAGCGAGACGGCCAGGGGCGGAGTAGCCAAGGGGGCTGGGCTTTGACTTGTGAAAATAATGACAGTGCGAAGAACAATTCACAGCTGCGACTGTTTGGGCACTTAGTGTCTGAATGGACAATTCAAACGGTAACGATATACCCGGCAGCACAGCGTGCGAATTGAACTGGGTATAATTAATAAATATTAAATAAGTTCTGGCAGCGCTAAAAATTGAACCGTACAAAATGAGCAAACGCCGCTCACGCGCCGCACTGCCTATAGATTAATCATTAATCAGTGCCAGGCGAACGCACACACACCAGCACACGCACATGCGGCAGAAGGAGCGCCCAGCTGGCAGCAGTGCTGCCAGAATTTTGAAGGCAAGAATTGCTAGAATTTCAAAAAAAAGTTGCGAAAATTGCTAAAAAATTTATTAAAATTGCTAAAAGAAATGGCCAAATTTTGTTAAAATTTTATATGTTAAATTTATTACTTTTATTTATGATTAAGTTTTTAAATGATAGTTAAAATGTCGTCCAATTGTTCCAATATACTTTCTTCATCATTAATAGCATATTTGGAGCTGCATCTGCTATGCATATCGCGTCGCCCACTTCAATAAGCTCAAGGCTTAGAAATGTTGAGACAATTGTGCCTTTACTATTGCTGAAATAGTTAATAGCAACTCCTAAAGATTTNAACTACTTATTGTTCACAACTATTGAACTATTGTTCACAAGTTTGTGCATTTATCGATATTGTTATGATTTTGAACAAGTTGAGTTCTTTTTAAGATGATGTTATTGTGAGATCACAAAAATCACAAAATTGCTAAAAGTTGCATAATTTTTTTTTTAAATAGCTATATTTGTGGCTAATAGCAATTTAAAAATAAAATTGCAAACTCAAATTCAAAATTGCTAGATCTAGCAACTTAATGGCTAAAATGGCAGCACTGGCTGGCAGTGCAAAAATGATTTATGCTAAAAAGTATGCTACATAAATTTCCATATGCGCCGCGCCAAGTATCCGACTGTAAAAAAGGGTCTTATTAAAAGCGTCAACGTGGCCAGCACGAGATTCTAACACACACACACACACACACACACATGTACCATACACATACACACACTCTGTCATCCAGCCATACCATATGAGATTTAAAGCACCTTGAAGCCCATGACTTATGCATTGCCTTTGCATTCTGCTTGCAGCGCGGACGAAGGCTTCGATGGCACCTACGCCACCAATGTGGTTGTGCGGAACAACGGCAGCTGCCTGTACGTGCCGCCCGGCATCTTCAAGTCCACGTGCAAAATCGACATCACCTGGTTCCCCTTCGACGATCAGCGCTGCGAGATGAAGTTCGGCTCCTGGACCTACGATGGCTTTCAGGTGAGTTCAGCGGCAAACTAACACCTGATTATACCAGATACATATACCAACCTACCATATATGCATATATAACATGTATATATAGTATTGTGTGCGCCTGCAACGGGCAGCATGTAATAAATATGCTGTCAGCTCTCGCTTGGCACTCGCAATTAATATAAATCCCATGCATAAGTCAGAGCAACAGCGAGAATATTACAAATAAATTAATTACGGGGCAAGACGGAATCATCGTGAAAGTGGAAGTCATAATCTGAGCTGATATTAATGACTTTTGCAGCGGCTGGAAAAAGGCAACGAATAGAGCTTAAAAATCCATATAGCTTATATTTCATTTTTGTTATACCCTGAACCCATTGAAAATGGGAAATCAGGGTATAATGGTTTTGTGAAAAAGTATGTAACGGGCAGAAGGAGGCGTGGCAGACCCCACAAAGTATATATATTCTTGATCAGCGTGACGAGCTGAGTCGATATAGCCCTGTCCGTCTGTCCGTCCGTCCGTCCGTCCGTCCGTCCGTCCGTCCGTCCGTCCGTCCGTCCGTATGAGTGCGTCGATCTCAGAAGTTATAAGAGCTAGAGAGCTGAAATTTGGCATGCATACTCGTGTGTACCATACGCAGTACGAGTTTGCTTTATTTTTTCGATAAATCGTCCGATAACTTTTTTATCGAGAATAATCGAAAAATTGATTTTGTTTTTTTAGCCTAATTTGAACATTTTTAGACCTGGAGTCTTCAAATTTGCGTTGTATATAAAGTTAATCGATACAAAGATTTTGTAATTTACAGATTTTGGATACCACGCCCCCTTCTCCCCCAATTTGTAAAAAACGCATTTCAAGTACTAGAGACTTGTGCTTTGGAATGTACACACATATTTACCATATGATTACACTCTGAAAGTTTCATTAAGATCATATGTTTACAAAAGAAATTATTCGACAAATAAATTCTCATAATATTGCCCACACTGCAGCGCAGCCCAAGCGCAGTCGCTGCTTACTGCGCAGTTAGCAGAGCGCAGGCTTATGCGTGCGTGTGGATGCAT